GAGATCAACCCTCTCCATCCTTGCCTCAAGGGAGCCTTCTGGCTGGACTTCCCCTGCGATCATGTAGTGGATCTTTTCAGCAGTCCCGGGTGCTGCCAATATTCTTCACCAGCACCATCATGCAGTCGGATCCGTTCTTAGGTCGTCCTTATTCAACGTCCAACGTTCCCATGCGTAGGAGGCAATTGGAAATATCACGGCTTGGCTCAGGCACATCTTAGTCCTCAAAGTAACGTCCTTGCTTTTTGATACTTTAAAGGGGTCTTGTGCAGCAGGTTTACCCAGGACAATCTGACTCATCAGGACTCTCTAAGACAGAGTAGAAATGCCCTTATGGGTTTCCAAGATTTTAACTTTATGAGAGTAGAAAGCCTCATCTCTCTCCTTCGGAAGGGCCAGGGGCTTTGAGCTACTGACCTTGCAGTTAGCAGCCCAACCCACTCCACCAGCAGGACTCCTTTTGAGCCATCCACATCTCCCCTCCATTCAGTCCCTAGGCTCCCTGGGTGGTGCAAATAGGAAGCTTGGATACTAACCAAAAGGATGGAGATGTCAAGTCACCTACAGGGAGCTCGGGAGAAAGGCCTGGTGATCTCTTTCAGAAGAATCAGCCACCGGCAGCCCGGTGGCTGTCACACATGGGTGTCTCACATGGGTGTCCCCATGACTTGGCGTCAACTCCACGGCAACGGGCAACTGGTGTCAGCTGCTGCGCCTGGTGTCTTGTGTGACTCTTTCCCCCGGATCTTCACGATGAACCCAGCTGGTGCATTCTGACGAGGCTAATGAGCCCCAGAGAGGTGAACTCACTTGCCCAGGACCACGCTGCCCAGGTGGCAGCGCCGGGATGAGAACGCATCCAGTACCCAGTACCCTCCCATCTTCCTGACCCCGGGCTCAGAGCTGCGTCCTTCTCTCCACACCCTGGCCTTGCATCTGGCAGGCATAGTCCAAATTGGCATGTAGTGCCAATTGGCATGTAGTGCTCATTCCTCCTCTCCTTTAGTTCCCTCCAAGGAGCCCTGGGGGGCGCCATGGTGATGACTTGGGCTGTGATTGGCAAGGTTGGCAGTTGGAAACCACCAGCCGCTCCTTGGGAAAAAGATGAGGCTTTCTACTCCCATCAAGAGTGAGAGTCTCCCACCTTTCCCTTCCCCTCCTCGTATGGCTATTCTCATTATTGGTCCTGAGGGGTTTATCTGTCCTGGATTCCCTGTGTTTCCAGCTCTTGTCTGTACCCATGTACATGCTCTGGTCTAACCGGATTTGTAAGGTAGAATTGGGATCATTAAGGGATGAGGGGGGGAAGCATTAGAGAACTAGAGGAAAGTTGTATGTTTCATCGGTGCTGTACTGCACCCTGACTGGCTCATAATGATCTACATTTAATCCCCTCCCTGGGGGACAGACAACAGAAAAGTGAGTGAAGGGAGATGTCGGACAGTGTAAGACATGAAAAAAAAAAAAAAAAGATAAATCATCAAGGGTTCGTGAGGGAGGGAGGGGGAAAATGAGGAGCTGATACCAAGGGCTCAAGTAGAAAGCAAATGTTTTGAGAATGATGAGGGCAACAAACGTACAAATGTGCTTGACACAATGGATGGATGGAAGGACTGTGATAAGAGTTGAAGAGTCCCCAATGAAATGATTAAAAAAAAGGAAAACAGAAAAGTTACAAAAAAGAGCGACCGTCTCAGAAACCCACAGGGGCATTCTACCCTGGCCTAGATACAATGCCCTAGTTGGGCTTTTTGGTTCATTTCCCTTGTGGAGCCTTGGTGGCATGGTGGGTTACACCGTATGCCAGCCATTGGAAACCTCCAGCCACTCCTTGGGAGAAAGATGAGGCTTTCTACTCCCATGAAGACCTGTAGCCTCTGGAAACCCACACGGGCAGTTCTACTCTGTCCGATAGGGGCGCTGTGATTGAGCTCGGTGTCCCCATGGCTGCTCTTGTTGGCCGTGGCTGTTGAGTAAGCCCACTCCGTGTGCGACAGGGATGAGCTGTTGTGCTCCATCGTGTCATTGTTTGATTTTCAGAAGCCGATCACCCGGCTTTTCTTGCTGGTCTTTCAGAAACTTCGTTCAGGTATGTCAAGGTAACCTTCAGCAGCACAGCCGCATGCAAGCTTCCCCGGACAGAGGGGGAGTAGCTCTGTTGGAGGGGCATTGGCTAGAAATGGAATCTGGGTTTCCCCGCTTGGAAGTTGAGAATGGTATCTGTGGGCCAGCACCACCCTCATCACAGAGGCTTACTAAAACCAGACCTACTGCCATCGAGTCAGATCCAACTCACGGTGACCCTGTATCAGATTTCTGAGATTGTAAATATTTCCCGGAGCACGCAGTTTACTTTTTCTCTTGTGGAGTGGAGGGTGGGTTTGAACCACTGACTGTGTGGGTAACAACCCAATGCCACTAGCTCACAGAGGCTAGGCATCTAACAAGTGCACTTCCCAGATGCTGTTGTTGCTAGGGCGCTGATAGGATTTAGCCCGTGCCATTGAGACACTCCTGTGTAAGGCGTGGAAGGTGGAAGGGAAGTAAGACCACTTTCCTTGCAGCCATGGTTGCTGGTGGGTGAGTTTCAGACCTGTGTGTTCTTGCATGGGCATGTTTCCTTAAATTCCCTGGATAGTAGAAACTGCAGCAGGGTCGATCTTTGAGTCCCAGCAAGCAGCCTCACGACGTCCACCCTATAGATCTTCTAAGGATTTCATAAGCTGCCAATCCCCTTTGTTAAATCTCTTCCTGCTTGAAGTAACTGGATTGTTTTCACTTTCCTGCTACAAGTGCTGACGGACACAGTGGGTTGGGGAATCAGGAGGGATAGGCCACGCTTGATCTCTGACCTGCGTTCCTCTTTGTCTCCAGTCTCTTCAGGGAGCGGCGGTGGCGGCTAGGAGGGGGGCTTTCAGGGCAGTGCCAGTCTGGGAGTCAGAGGGAGAAAATGATTACTGAGACAGCAATTCAGATCATTATCAACATCCTTGATTATATGAATTGATTACTTACAGTGTGTTCAGGGCTTTCTATGGGGTACCTCATAGTCTCCTTGTATTTAAGGCTCATCACTTAAAAGCATTGTGCCTGGGAGCAAGTTACTGAACCTCTCTGCTATAAGTTCCCTAGCTGTGTAAATGGACCTATTATAAACTAAAAACAACAACAACAACAACAAACAAACCCAAATGCACTGCCCTCGAGTCGATTCCAACTCATCGTGCCCTGATGGGACACAGCAGAATGGCTCTTTTGTGTTTCTGAGATTGTAAATCTTCATGGGGGTAGAAATGTCATCTTTCTCCCGCAGAGCAAGCAGCTGGTGGTTTTGCACGGCTGACCTCGGGGTTAACAGCCCAATGCATATCCCACTACGCCATTAGGGCTCCTGGATCGACTATAGCTCTATTCATAAAGTTATGCATATGAAAGTACGCAGTACAGGGTCAAACATGTCATGAATAGGAATAATTATGATATCATTATGTAGAACTAAAAGAAGACACTTTTAGTCGTCACCAGTAGCTGTTCTACTTTCTCTTCCATGGCAATGAAACAGGCATCTTTTAGATATCACCCCAATACAGACTACATTCCCTAGTCTCCCTAGACAGGGCCATGGCCTTAGTTCTAAAAGATGAGATATGAGACAAGTATTTTCTCCTTGATGTACCATGATGTACCATGTGGGCCATCGCGGAAGATTAAGCTGGAAGGTGCTTGAGTCTCTGGGATTTTACTATGTGATAAACTTAGATCTCTCACAAATCACTGCTGATTTTTGTCTTGAATGTTTGTCAAGCATATGAGTGAATGACACACAATAAGTTAGTTAGATTGTCCTCATATTAGGAATTTTTTAAAAAAGAGAGACCTATAAAGGGAATGTAACTGATCTGTGATCAAGGTGTGGAGTCCAAAGCTCTTATTCATAATGAGTCAGCAGCACTACTTCATCCCATCCCTCCTCCTGTCCCTCCCTCCCTGCTTGTACCTGAGCTTGCCAGGGTGTCCATCCCCGTGCTGATCTTGAGGTCCAGTCCAGCATCCTTGAACACAGCAAGCCTGTCTTTCCCACTGCCTGCTGTGCAGCCAATGTCATGCTTCTCTACTACATCCCAGACCTACAGTCAAGAACGAAATTTGGATTTGGCTCCCATATGAGCCTAAGGAAAAAGCAACAGTGCACTGTGACTACTGGTTCAAATATTAATTCTTATGCCATCTTGAGCTTATTGAACTCTTACCCCCTTCCAGTTGCGGTTCTGTGTACCTTCTCCTTGAACATTTACACCCCTCGATTTGCCAAGGTTCCAGCTAGAATTCCCAGGAAACCTCTAGGCTCAAAGCCCATATGCTCTCACCTTTTTCTGAGTGAGCTTGTGCTTGCTGTTCAAAACATAGACAGCTTTATCCACAGCCACTAGTCCCACTGTGGCCTCTGCATCACCTGTCACCTTCAGTTCCACCTTGCTGTTGGGCTCAAAATGATGGATGCTTTCTTCTTTCTTCAAGCTAACCTTCAGCTGATCCAGGAGAAACAGACATGTCAGAGGCCCACAGACCTCCCAGGGGCTGCTCCAAATCCATTTTTGGGTTATATCCCCTACTGTTCTGGTGGAACAGCTGGGAACTCCACACATTTATTTGCATCATACCCACCCCCCAGGTTGAGCTTTTAAGGCCACATTTCCTCCTCAGGGGCCACATTTCCTCCTCTTCCTCTCCCCTGCCCGCCAGACTGTGGACCCCTGCTGAACTTGTACAGGACATCTCTGGAGCATTATGATGATTAGATACAACTTCAAGATATTTATCTCACCGTCCCCATGCATCTGTCATTCACATCAATCCATACAGAATCAGCCACCAACTCAGGGTCCTGGCTTGCTCCCTTGGGCAGTAAATAAAAGGCCACGATGCGGAAGGAGGGCAGCATTTCTGGAGTCACGTCAAGAATGGCTGCTGTGTAGACGCCTCCCTGGCTTTTTGGCTGATGTTTGGCAAGCACGATCCGACCCTTACTCAGGACCTTGGAGACAATTGAGGCTAAGATGAGAATGGCTTGCCCAGTTCTTCCCTAAACTGTCTCAGGCCACCAGGAGAGGGTCTACAGTCCCTTTTCTTTAGTCCCTTGGTCTGAACCCACCCCCAAATTATTCCCACCTTTCCCCTTTCATTCATAGTCCCTTCAACCTAAGTAGCCAGAGTTATTCTAGAGAAAGAATTTCTTGGTGCCGGCAGGCCCTGGTACTAGTTTCTTACCAGGAGGGTGAAGTGGGTGATCTGGTCCTTGGTTGAGGGGTTCCGATGCCTTGTGTTGAGGCTCAGGTGGATGTTGCTGCCAACTTCGGTGCTCAATGACTTTACTTCAATATGCAGGAAGTTCCCTGACCCATCCTGAGTTGAGTAGGGCTGAGCTGTCATCCTGGCAGACGCCTGCTCTTCTGGCTGGAGATGTTCATTAGTTTGTACCTGAAGAGAGGGATGGAGATCAGAACCCTTACCCTTTCAGCTCACCCGGTCCCAATCCCACCATCTCTAACCTATCCGATTGGTACCAGTATAGGGAGCTGGTTCAGATCTGCCTCTGTGTTGATGGTCAGAGCAGCCACCCCATCGACTGAGGAATGCACTTCGTGGCCTTCACTACGGACGATGACTCCGGAGGCTGGAGACCCATCAGGGTTTGAGACCAAGACCTGGGATGGAATCTGGGGTGAGATGGATGCCAGGCCCGGGGGTGGGAACCGGGACTGCCATATGAGTAGGATTTCCTTGTACGCCAGGGCAACAGTCATATTCAAATGTCTTTGATTGGCGCCTTGTGGAGTTTGTCAGCACACAATCCTAGATGGGCCCCTATGTCTTAGTGCGCCCCGGGAGAAGGCCTGAGGGTGGAGGGGATAGGAGGAAACATGGAGGGCTGCAGAAAACATGGGGTAGAGTGATCACCCCGGTATAACTCTAGCCTTCCTATGGTCCCTCAGATATCTTATCATCAGAACCCTCCCCCCCAGCCCAAATTCACTGCCACAAAGTCACTGCCAAGCAAGCATATTAAACCAGCACAGTGGCTAGGCAAGAAAGATGCTCAAGGACCACTTCTCAGCCTCAGTGTGGCTCCTGAGCCCTCGACAGTGAACTTCTAGAGCAGTGGTTCTCAACCTGTGGGTCTTGACCCCTTTGGGGGGGGTCGAACGACTCTTCACAGGGGTTGCCCGATTCCTCACAGTAGCAAAATGACAGTGATGAAGTAGCAACGAAAATAATTTTATGGTTAGGCGGTCACCACAGCATGAGGAACTGTATGAAAGGGTCAAGGCTTTAGGAAGGTTGAGCACCACTGCCCTAGCGCCATCACTCAACCCAGGAGGCCCCCTAAGACTCGAGAGATCTTGGGGTTGATTTTGGAGGCATGGATGAAAGATGTAGCTCTCAGGCAGATGAGTGGAAGGGGACAGAGAAGTCCAATGTATTTGATATTTGGTTTCTGGATGTCTGCTTTGGGGAGGTCCTGACCCTGAAGTTGAATGGCATTCCGGGCTTGAAATAGTGGGGTGTCCTGATGAACCGGATGTTGTATGGGCTCCGGACAATCTTCACTCCCGAAGTCTCTGTCCGGACCATCTCCCCCCCTGTCGAGACAAGGAAGATGGTGGGGCCTTGTAGAAGAAGCGCCATTTCTTGGGGGCCTGGCATGAATGTGGGAGGGGGTCCATGTTGGTGAAGGTAGGGAAAAGACCCCGACACAGTTTCAGCTACTCCCAGCCCTTCTCTGATCTTCCGTTTCTTTGATGTGAAAACGGAGACTGAGAGGTGGGCCGAGGCCACACCTCAGGCACCTGCGCTGGGAAAGGATGCAGGTGTCTCTGGCTCTCGGGCAGGAGCCTGGGTGAAGGGGTCACCTGTGGAGAACACGGTGATGTTGACGTAGACTGACGCCCCGATGAACTCCTCTTCTGGCCCTTGGAATGCAGCCATCAAAGTGTCTTTCTGGAGGGAGGCATGGCCCAGGCCTTCCGATACCTGCAGCACAGGATAGCAGAGGGGAAGATGGCTTCTTTGGGGAAGGGGGAAGGGTCTGGTGGGATGGGGGGTGTGAGGGGGGACTCAGTCACCTCCACCCTCTGCAGGGAGCTTTCGATGGGGACCCGGCGGGAATCCAGTGACACCCCGAAGATAGCCAGAGCGTGTCCATCCACCGGCTTGTTGAATAAGTATCTGGGAAAGAGAGGGCCATCATACGGGCTCTGAAACACCCACACAGCCTCATGTGGCTGCAGTGAGGGGCTGTCTGGCTTCACGCCGCGTTGTCCCTGAACACCCAGAAGATTTTATGGCGAACCCACAAAATCCTTGGGAGGAGGGGCAAGGATGTCCCATGAAGCCTCACTGGTTGCAGACGTGGCCCGGGGAACCCCCCAAGAGGGCTGTGGCACCGTCTGGAGCCACGTAGCAGTCAGAACTCAGGGGATGTCAGAGGTGGCCTGTGAACCTCCTCAGGCAGATGGCAGCCAGCATCTTAGCGCTGCAGGAATGACCTGTGCAACTTCCAGGAGAGGACCTTCACCACCTCAGAGCCCTGGAGATGGGCTGCAGATCTCACCAGGCCGACAGTGAGACATGAGCACTTCACCGAGCGGCCGAGGTGGGCTGCACAACCTCATAACATGGCAGAGGTGACCTTCAGAGATGCTCAGAGCAGGATCATGAAGGGGCCTCTGTGACTTGTACAAGCCTGTTGGGTAGACCAGGAGCCCCGGACAGTCTTGTAGCCCTGAAGAGATGGTCCGTGCAACCTCAAGGATGAGCAAGGGTGGCTTGGATTATCTCAGAGGCGGTAGAGGGCCGGCCCCAAACACACGGAAATCCCAAGGTGGGCCCCTTCTCGTGACTGGCCAGGGTCCTGATGTTTCTGGTCCTGCAACAGGACTAGGGGAGAGAGAACGACTCACCTGGCATGGATGTCGATGCCCAGAGCGGTGTCGTTGAGGTAGAAGAAAGTCTTGTTTGGGGTCAGCTTGACCTCAAAGGATGGGAGCACTGGACGGGATCAGGCAGGGGGAATTGTGAGCAGTTCCCCTCCACCACTCACCCCTCCCTCACTGGAACCTTCCTCGGTGCCTCTGAGGACCCCCGGGGCCGGGACACGTGGGCCAGCTGAGCTTGTGAGCCCTCCTTCCCATGCCCGACCCTGTCCCTTGCGTGTGGCATCTTGCCCACCCGGGTAGACCCTTCTCACCATACTCTTTCACCTCAAAGGCTGCCTTGAATGGCTGCTCAGGGGCACTCTGGTAACTGGCTTCAATGCTCCACGTCCCCAAACTGAGGCAGAGGTCAGAAGCGATGTCTGAGAAGGCGGCCCCCACACCACGCCCCTAAGGGGTTGCACCTTAGTCCTCGGGTGCTCAGACCGGGCCAGGGCAGGGCCAGGGCACCTGATGAGCTCCGGGAGGTGGAAGGAGTTGACGAAGAAGCCGTCCTTGGCCAGCAGACTCTGGCTGAGCACCGTAATTCCCTCTGGGTTCTGTGGGGACAGGGCACGGGGCTGCTGACGTCCCTCTGGGAGGGCCCGTGTGGTCCCGCATAGGTCTCATGGGACCTCATCGCCGTGTCCGGAGTTCCCCTCCCGCTCCTGTCAGGGGAGATCACCTTGATGTGCAGATCGAACGGGCTGTTCGAAGGATCCATCTTGTGGTCCACTGTGAACACTCGGTACTGAACTGTGGGAAGACTGTGCGTCAGATCCAACAAGGGAGGGCGAAGGAGCATGAGAGATGCAAGGATCTGGGGCCAGGGGTGGGGTGGGGGTGGCGCTCAGGATTCAGGGAAGATTTTAGGGCCCAGGACCACGTTAGTCACTGGGGGAGGATGTGGGGAGGAGTCAGTGCTTGCCCCAGGCCTAGTGCTGGGGGCTGTACCCCAGTGCTCAGGGGTGTAGATGGTCTTGTCTGTTTGGATGAAGATGTAGCCAGCGTGGGGAGCCACGAGCACGTGCTTCTCCATGAACGAGGAGGTCGAGATAGGCCCCCAGTTTGCCTGGATGGTGACGTATTGCTGTCCTGGCTTTGCGGGGTAGACCAGTTCCTCTGGAACCTGGGGGAGAGATGTTCCACATTCCTCAGGCCATGAGGGAGGTAGGGTGCGGGAAGAGGAAAATGAGCTGATTGATACCAAGGGCTCAAGTAGAAGAAAATGTTTTGAAAATGATGATGGCAACCTATGTACAAATATGCTTGATACAATTGATGTATGAATGTTATAAGAGCTGTCAGAGCCCCAATAAAGTGATTAAAATATATATCGAGAGAGAGTTACGGACTCGGAATTCCACACTGTCCTGCCTGGCGCTGTGCGTGGGAATGGACTGGGGCAGCGAGAAAGCACTGTAACTAGCCTGCTTGCCAAGTAGTGTTCCCACCAGCAGAGGGCGCCCCTTTACAACGTGCACATGTGGCCACTGAGCTGCTTCGGACCCAATGGCCAACTGGGGGTGGGGGTGCTGCAGCGCGGGACTGTGCTGCGGACTGAGATTTGAGCATGCTAACTGTTTGCACCTCCCAAATCAAAAGCCAAACTCCCTGCCATCCGGTTGATGCCGACTCATAGTGACCCTACAGGACAGGGCAGAACTGCCCCTGTGGCTTTCTGAGACCGTAACTCTTTAGGGGAAGAGAAAGCCCTGTGTTTCTCCCCCGGAGCCACTGGTGGCTTCCCGGACTCCGTATTACTCCCTACTGGACATGGCAGTCCTCTTCCCAGCCCAGTCTGAGGGGACTTTTGAGTGGAGAGAATGGAGAAGCTGTGGTAAGAACATCCGGGCCTTGCATGGACTCTCTGATGTCCCTTTGGGGCAGGTCTTCCGGAGTCTGTCCCCTCCACCGTCACTGCTGACCCAGCATCCGCTTTATGAGCCCCCGCCCTTCCCTGTCACCCACCGTCAAGGAGACTTTGTCCATGAAGTGGTTTTTAGGTGAGAGAGTGAGCTGGCCCTGGGCCACCATTGTACTCTTCCTGGGGAAGTCCCACAAGGTAATGTTCACCTCCAGGGGCCCCCTGAGAGGCTGCGGGGAGTCACTGTGGGCCTGGACGTAGATGTCCTCGGGGCTGCCCACCCGCAGGACTCGGGGGCTCACCAGGATGTACCTGCCGGAAGACAAACACAGGAGCATGAAGGGGAGGGGGGGAAACTCACATGGGGAAGCAGCGGGGACCACAGGGGTCACAGGCAGGGAATCACACAGATGCCCGATGTGGCTGGGAGGTCCCTCAGTCCCCCAGACTCACAGTGGCTCTGCATGGGCCAGAGAGGCCTCCCAGAGGAGTAGAATCAGCCCCAGGGACCAGGGCACGTCCATGGTGGGTGGGCAGGCGATGTGGAGCTTCAGCTCCCAGCTGTCCCTACGCCTGCTGCCCTGACCCTGGCCTCTTTGGCTTGGGCGGCCCTGATGGGTTAATAGCTAACTGGGTGTGGGTCAGGGGTTCCCAGAAATCCCCTGGGAGCAGAGGTGCGGCTCCTCCCTCCACAGTTGCCCTGAGAATTGGCCCAGTTCCCCGAATCAGGGACCAGCACAAGGGCTACTCCTCCTAGGAGCCAGGGCGGGCCTGACGGGGAAATCCTCCCCTCCCCCAGCAGAGAGCCTAGGCCCAGAACATTGAACTTGGAGCTTAATTGGGATTGGCCAGCAGGGACAGAGGGACAGGACACTACCCGCCTCCCCCACCCTCCAGTTCTTGGGAAATTGACTGGCTTAGCTGATCCAAGGAGTGGCGCTAGCATAGTGTTCTCAGGCCACCCAGAGAGTCTTAGGAACAGTGACCACCCGGATGGCATTTTGCTATCTGGCCCCAGCACCCACCAGGAAGAAACCTTTCGAGAAAGGCAACCCCCACCCCCCTCCCGTGCCCCTAGGTCCTTCTTCACCCATGCAGCCACGGTTTTCTCTTTTCTTGCAGGAGACTTTGTTTGGGGTCTGGTGGACTGTGACCATTGTCCATTGTTCCTAAGCCACGCCCACCCCGGCTGCGTCTCCAGAAGACATTACGCATATTAAACCAGGGGAGAAATGCATGGTGCCTGATATGTCGCTGGAAGCAGGCTGGCTCTGTGTCAGATGAGGCTCGCCAATTGTGTCACGTGCCTTTCAGGAAGGCTCTGGACTGGCTGCGTCGTACCTGCCTGCTCAGAAGCCACCCCCACGGTGATGGTGGCCCCCAGACTTTTTTGGGCTGGCACATGAGCCTGTCTGACTCTGGCCACTACTGGGAAGTCTTTCACACCAGTATGGAGAATCTTGCCAAACGGGGGTGGGGGGTGGGGCAAGAGACTGCCCCCCACCCAATGATATTACAGGCTATGGATCTAGCAGTGTCCCCCCGCCCCCCGCTCCTCACCAAGCCATCGGTAGAGCTCCTCACTCCTGCAATTCATTTGGAAAGATGGTCTTTGAAGACGTTAACCTGAGGGTATGAGCGCCGGTCCAATCTCAGGGTGCCCAGCCATCTCACTGGGAGTCTTCCTCTTATTTGCTGACCCTCTACGGACTGGCTCCTCTCCACACCATGTCCAAAGGAGATGAGACACAGTCTTGCCATCCCTGCCTCCAAAGAGAATCATGGCTGTACGTTTTCCAAGACGGCTTTGTTTCTTCTTCTGGTGGTCCGTGGGCATGTCAGTCTTCTTCGCCAGCACCATAACATTCTCATAAAAGAGGTGATTAGACAGAGAGAGACGGTGTTCATCTGGGTAGACTAGAGAAACAAATCCAGAGACACTCATATGTGTAAGAGAGAACTTTATATCAAAAAGCAATTGTACATTAAGAAAACACCCCAGCCCAGTCCAGATCAAGTTCATAAGTCTGATATTAGCCCATAGGTCCGATACCAGTCTGTAAATTCCTCTTCAGGCTCTGAAATACCTGCAATGATGCCGAGTGGGCCAGTGGGTGGGAAGTCTTGTGGATCCAGTGGTGGTGGAAGCATCTTAGCACTGGCAGGGGTCTCCACATGGCTCCTCCAGCTCCAGGGTTCTAGCATAGCTCCATGTGTCTTGTCCGTAGGAAGACAAAGCAGAGAGGGCGTGGGTCTGGCTTCCAGCGAGCTATTTATCTCCTTAGCACCTCCAAATGAAGTCAACAAGCTGCAACCTGATTGACAGGCTAAACTCCACCCCTTCACTCTTAGTAGTCTCAAGTGGACACCAGATTTTGTACCTACCACAGAGAGACACACAGAAGGTCCATCTACCCTCACACCAAGGACACTGAGAAATGCTCGGGGCTCCTGGAAGTGGGAGCGGCAAGGAAGATTTAGCCTAGAACAGGAGCGGGAACGTCGTCCTGAATGCCATAAAACACCAAAACCAGACCCGCTGCCATCGAGTAGGTGCCAACTCATAGTGACCCTCTAGGACAGGGTAGAACTGCCCCTGTGAGTTTCTGAGTATGGGAGTAGAAAGCCAAGTCTTTTTTTTCCCCGGAGGAGTTGGTGGTTTTGAACTGCTGACTTGGCAGTTAGCCGCCCAACTCTGATCACTATACCACCAGGGCTCCTCGGGCCTGGAAAGCCCACAGAATCATCCACATCAGCTGGCATTGCCAACCTCACCAAAGGGTCACAGTTCCAGCCGTCCCATTAGGGGTGAGCTAGTGAAACGGTTGACCAGTGTGGCCTGCGACTGATGCTATAAGGATCCAGGTGGCCCTTGGCATTGATGAGATGGAGGGACACGGTGGCAGCATCCGTGGGCTCCAACAGAAGGACACTTGGGAGGGTGGTGCAGGACTGGGCAATGTTTGGTTCTGTTACACACTGGGTCACTCTGAGCAGGAACCGAGTCGACAACAGACAAGGGCTCGGTATTAAGGCTCCCATCCTCCAGGGATAGGAATGCTGGTGGCGCAGTGGTTACGTGCTCAACCTCAAACTGAAAATCAGCAGTTCGAACCCACCAGCTGCCTAGTGGGAGAAAGATGTGGCAGGCTGCTTCCATCAAGATGGAAATGCTCAAACTCACCTGGATCAAGTTGGTTCCGACTCATTGAGACCCTATAGGACAGAGGAGAGCCGTCCCTCTGGGTCTCTGCGGCTGCACACCTCGATGGGAGCAGAATGATTCCTTTTGCTCTCCCAGGGCAGCTGGCTAGTTAGAACTGCTGACCTTGAGGGTAGCAGACTGCAGGGGCGGGTTCACTCTGTCCTATCCGGTTGCGTGACATTTTCCATTGTTCCGTTTGCCTGTGGCAGCTGGACCTTGAACAAAGGAGACCGAAGAAGAATCAACGGATTTGAATGATGGTGCTGGCGAAGGAGACTGAAAGTCCCACGAGCTGTCAAAAGAACAAACAGACCCGTCGTGGAAGAAGTACAGCCAGCAGACTCCTTAGAGGCCAGGCTGGCGAGGCTTTGTTTTCATGGGCTTTGGACAGGTTGTCAGGAGAGACCAGTCCCTGGAGAAGGACGTCATGCGTGGTAAAGTAGAGGGGCAGCGAAAGACAGGAAGGTCCTCGAGGGATGGATATACACAGTGGCTGCGACAACGGGTTTAAACCTAAGAGTAATTGTGAGGATGGTGCAGGACCGGATAGAGCAGCGGTTCTCAACCTGTGGGTCGTGACCCTTTTGGGGAATCAAACGACCCTTTCACAGGGTTCACCTAAGGCCATTGGAAAACACATATTTCCAATGGTCTGAGGAACCGAGACACCGCTCCTCTATCCGTCTCCAGGCGGGTCCGCCCACATGCAGATGTGCCCGCATACAAGTACCCGGCATGCTACACCATGCTTCGAGACAAGATTTCATTTGCTTGTCATGAGAAATAAATAATTCACAACGTAGAATGACACATTGTTTAGATGATTCATCACCATGCTTTCATGATGTTCAATTTGTAACAATGAAAATACATCCTGCCTATCAGACATTTACATGACGATTCATAACAGTAGCAAAATGAGTTATGAAGTAGCAACGAAAATAATGGTATGGTTGGGGGCACCACCACATGAGGCCCTGTGTGAAAGGGTCGTGGTATGAGGAAGGTTGAGAACCGCTGGGATTTAGTTTTGTGTTTTTTTTAATCATTTTATTAGGGGCTCATACAACTCTTATCACAATCCATACACACAGCAATTGTGTAAAGCGCATTTGTACATTCATTGCCCTCATCATTCTCAAAACATTTCCTCTCCACTTAAACCCCCGGCATTAAGTCCTCATTTTCCCCTCCCTCCCCGCCCTCCCCTCCCTCATGAGCCCTTGATAGTTTATAAATTGTTGTTTTGTCATATCTTGCCCTTTCCGACGTCTCCCTTCACCCACTTTTCTGTTTTCCGTCCCCCAGGGAGGAGGTCACATATAGTTCCTTGTAATCGGTTCCCTCTTTCCTACCCACTCTCCCTCCACCCTCCCTGTTTCGCCACTCACACCATTGGTCCTGTAGGGCTCATCCGCCCTGGATGCAGGGATTTAGTTTTGTTCTGTTGTTTGCGTGGTCTTTCTGAGTCAGATCAAACTTGATGGCACCTAACAACAACAACAACAACAACAAACCTGACGGTGCTTTGCTTGGGGTGTGACCTTTGTATAAGGAAGACTCTGAGGAGGATGGAGTCCGTTTTGCTCTTTGCCCTCCTGTTTTCTGTGGATTCGGCCTTTGCTTCTAGGAACCGCACCATGTGGTCTGCCGCCCCTGGGAGCTGTCAGTGCCCTGCCCTATTTCTCCTAAGCTCCAATCCGGGATGGCGCACACCCGCTGGCCTGTGATCTCCTCACTCCCCGCGTCACCTGCCTGCTTCATCCACCGGCGGCTGCGTGGGTCTGAGCATCACCAGCTAGCATCTGACCCATAAGTTGGACTGGGCTGGGCCGCCTTTTCGATAGGAAACTTGTTCTGGTACATATATGAGCATCACCGGTTTTGTTTCTCTAGAAACCTCTGCCTGACTGAGCACCTACTGTTCTGAGTCCGCACATGGAAGCCTCTCAGCAAACTCTGGGGTAAGAATTGCCACCCACCGTGCAGATGAGCAAAAGGAGGCCCTGAGAGGAAGGGAAAGCCCAGGGAGGTGTGTGTGTGTGTGTGTGTGTGTGTGTGTGTGTGTGTGTGTGTGTGTGGTGGGCAGTGCAGAAATATGAATCAAGGCTGTGCAGAGCTCTGAGCAGCACTCTTAACTTTACAGTACACTAGTTTAAAATAGAAGAAGAATTAGCAGGATCAAAATAAAGCCTGTCTTAGGGAAGCTTAACTTGGAAAGTTCTAGAACATTGGGGTCAGCATAGTCTACTGCCGAGTCAGCCTTTTCCTGTGGGTGGTCCCCCCCCCCCCACCATGTCCTCTTGCCCATCTGTCCTGGGGTGGGGCTCCTA